CTCCCCACAGTTGTGTCTCTTTAATTCCACTTTAGAGGGGAGTAGCTTCAGTGTCCTGTCACATGTGACCTTTTGTTTAAGGATAAATTTCCAGAGTGCTAAGTCTAATAGCAACTTAGGTACTTACAAATCAAAGTCAGAGTAAGATGTACGCTCCTGAAGTCAAGCTTTACAAAGAGATGACTTTTTCTGACTTCTATTGATTTAATAACTACTCTGTACTTGAAGATGTCGGAGGACTGTGCAGCCAAGTCACATCTGAAAATAGCATTAAGGTCCCAAAGCTAAGGCAGTTTTGGAAAACGCAAAATGCAACTACAGTACCTTTCTCTTACATTTCACCGCTTGGAGGGAACGAAGGGCTGTTTCCTAATGTTTTCATGATGACGTGAAACCTGGGTGTGCCTGAAACATTGCTGATGTGATTCTTTTTCATTAATGTAGGTGACTAGAAAATTTGAAAGTGCTGCCTTATGGACACATGATTAAATGGTGGTTCAGATGGTTTGAACTGAAGTAATGAGGACATAAGTGGTCATTTGAGAGATGTGATCCAGACTGTTACTTTTGAATTGAAAGCTTAGTTTTACTCCACTGCCTTCAAAACCCAGAGCATGCCAGAAACACAACCTTTGCTAGATGTTTGCAAAATATCCAGATGTGTTCTTGAAGAGATAGGAAGTTTAAAGCAAGGAGTAACTCTAAAAGCTGTTCCTGTTGTAGTTAGAATCATAGAATAATTTGGGTTGGAAGGAACATTAAAAGGTCATCTAGCCCACCCCACTCCACCACAACTTCAACTAGACCAGGTTGCTCAAAGTCCCATCCAACCTGACCTTGAATGTCTCCAGGGATAGGGCATCTCTGGGCAACCTGTTCCAGAGTTTCACATGGTAAAAAATTTCTTCCTTCTATCTAGTCTAAATCTACACTCTTTTAGATTAAAACCATTGCCCCTTGTCCTATCGCAACAGGCCCTGCCATCTTTCTTATAAGCCCCTTTAAGTTCTGAAAAGTCTGCTATAAGGTCTCCCTGGAGCCTTCTCTTTCCTAAGCTGGATGACCCCAACTCTCTCAGCTTGTCCTCATAGGAGATGTGTTCCATCTCTCTGATCATTTTTGGGGCCCTCCTCTGGACCTGCTCTAACAGGTCCGTATCTTTTCTTTGCTGAGGACTCCAAAGCTGGACACAGTGTTCCAGGTGGGGTCTCACCAGAATGGAGTAGAGGGACAGAATCACCTCCCTTGACCTGCTGGCCACGCTTCTTTCAATGCAGCCCAGGAAATGGTTGGCTTTCTGGGCTGCGAGTGCACATTGCTGGCTCGTGTCCAGCTTTTCATCCACCAATACCCCCAAGTCCTTCTCCTCAGGGCTGCTCTCAATCCCTTCATCCACCAGCCTCTATTGGTACTGGGGGTTCCCTACTTTGGGAACAGGCTGTTTGATAGATGGATAAAGTGCTGCTGTTACCTCACCACAGAATTCGCAGTCCTCTTCACAAAGGAGTCCATGTTTGACTTGTTTGGAGCAGCATCTCTGTATAAGCACGGGATTTGGTCATGATTCCATCAGTTTCCTCAGCCACATTCCTCTGTTAAAAGAAGTCCAGCTGTTTTAAAAGAAGTTTGTGCAAGTACATCTCACAAATATCACTGCATTTGCAAATAGCATATGATTTTTTTTCTTAGATTGGGAAATAGCATATGTTAATGAATACTCATTCATCTTTCCACAAAAGATTATGAAAATGTGAGTTGCCTCATGAAACTTGGCCTTCAAGCCTAAAATCAAATTGTTGAAGACAATCAATAAATTTTAAGGTGGTATGTGACATGTTTTTGAATAGGCAAACTTAACGCAGTCATTTACTAATAGGTTAGTACTTGATTTGACCCCGGTGATGTTGTTTTTAAGAGTACGTTTTATGTATGTGGTTTTGTAGAAAGACACTGATCTAGAATGCAGGCACACGTGCTTCCAAGCAGAGTCAGGAGAACGATAGGTGAGGATGAAATATTTTAGGGTGGTAAAGTAAAGCTTGAGAGCCACCAGAAGGAAGAGCCCCTTGAATTGTATTTAAGGGTGGGAGCAAAATAAGAGTCAGCAAAAGGCCCGAGGGAAGAACGTACCTGCCACTGCTGGCCCAGGGCAAAAAGCGTGATTTCCGTGGAAAGGTGGATCTGAGACCATCAGTACTGCTTGGTTGTTTGCATTTACAAGGAGGAACTGTTTAAGCGAGGACAAGGTTCCTGTGAACTCATCTTGCAAGAGAGCAGCTCACGCTGCTGTTTGATTATAAAAGTCACACACAGGGATGACACAGAGGTCATTTACACCCTGGGCAGAATTTGAAATTGCGTCCTTGCTGGATTAGCGTTGCTCAATATGTCTTTCCTACAACATCACCTTCTGGAGACCAAGTTCTTCAGTCTTTTCAACAGGTTTATTATTTTATACACAATCCTAAAATGGAAGAGGTGAGTGAAAACAATGTAAAATAAAAAAAAAGCTCACCTGCTTGCTTCAGGCTGTCCTTGGGCCTCTTCTCAGGTGTGGAGAAGGGCACTCCTGCCCGTGCAGCAAGAGATGCTTTGGGATCTGTGCAGCTCCTCCTGGAATAGCAGTAGCAAAACTAAATTAAGAAAATTTCTCCTTTTCCCTTGCCCGTCATGGGTCGCTTTGTCTTCCTCCCTTCCTTTTCATCTTAATTGGGTCAGGAGGAGGTGGTCTGCCAAATGCACCCCCTGACACCTGCTGGTGTGCAGGAGAGACTCCCTGCGTTCCAGGAGGATTACCACAAGCCTGATTATAGGGGCAGGAGAGCCCCATGAACCCAATGAACCCAGGTCTTGGGCGCTATGGAGGAATCTTATCATCAATCCAAGGCACCTAGGGAAGATTTCCAGTGCATACTTATGTATTCCAACAAGATCTCTTATACGTTGGCTAGGGATAACAAGCAAGACTAAGACTACTGTTGGCACATTTTCTGTGTGCCAGAGCTTTAAAGTATTTAAAAATGCAAAATATGTATCTAGCAAGATTTCCAAAAGTGCCCATAAAAAAAAAAAAAGGGGGCCATTATAGACAGTCCTTTTTTAACTTTCTGGCTCTGTAGAAAGTGGCTACCACAATTCTGCTGCCAGAAGAGGTATTTTTTTTATTACACTTATTGACATGTTTTCACATAGAATTTTATCAGAGACAAAGCACAGCTGGGCTTTAGCTTGCTGTTGAAAGTGAAACCCAATCTACAGTAGCCTAATTTCACTGAAGAAGAAAAGGGACTATTTTATTGTTACAAATCCCTTTGAAAATACTTCAGCAATTACATTTGTGAAACAAATAATTACACAAAAAGTAAAATTTTGCTTTAGGGTGTTGTGAGAACAAGTGATTAATATTTGTAAATGTCTCCATGAAAATCATTCAGGTTGCAAGACTGTATTTCACCACAAAGCTAAGCCAGAACAATTAGAGATTCATAAAGCAAACTCACAGCTGGTCACTTTTTCTGAACCCGTTCCAGGGGGAAGGGTTACACCCCCTGGGCTCTCGGGGCACAGAGGAGGGGTCCCAGCATGTGCGGTCCCTTGGACTGAGTCCGAGGCAGTGAGCCCTATTGAGGGCAGGCAATTAAACTAAAGCTTAACTGCACATTAACACAATTAAAGTCTCCAGACTGGCATTGGCTTGACACGTGGACAAAGCCAGCCTGCAAAATACCTTATAAACATACCTTCAGAAAGAGTTCTTCCTGGAGTATCACATTCTCTCCATCCCTTCTCCAGACCAATGTGGAATCTCATTTCTGCCAGCAGGTGACTTGAGACCAGAGTTTTCCCCAAGAGGGAGCACTGAAGCCCTTCTTTCAGAAGCAGCTGCTCGTAGTTCAACCATGGCATGCAGAAATCCAGTCCTACACATAACCAAAATTCCTATGTCAACAACAGCAATAAAAAAGCCACCAAAACCCCCTCAAACACCTTCCCCCCTGCCCTCTTCTCACAGAGAAAACACACTGAAGAACATCAGGGCCTAATGCTAGGGCTATCAGCCTATAAACGCTAAATTTCATAAATTCTAAGGGGGTGAGGAGGATGGAAAAGGGGAACAGAGGTGCCAGGAAAGGTATCAAGAACAGCAAAAGCATTTACCTGATTCAGAAGTCTACAGATAAAGGTTTTTCAAGTCATCTACAACTCCACTGGAAAGCAATAGACCTTTTGGCTTGTGACCTCTTCCTTACCGCTTTAGCTTTGAAGAGCTCAAGTGAAAAGATGGTGACTTTCGCTAGAATTTGAAATAATAACAAAACATGTCATTTCCCCAGCAAAAGTTTTATATATGAGAGGAGTTAGTCTTTTTAGTTAATAAGAAAAGAAATAATCTAACAAGAACACATCAGGTAAATGGGGCTGTCTGTTCTTCACAGGCACAATGGTGTTCTGACCCCATGAGTTTTTTACAGAGCTGTAGACATACATCAATTTTACCCCCAGCTGCAGGGTATCCAAACCAGCCTTAATCAGGTTTCCCCAGACTTTTTGTAGCAGAACAGGTGACTGGGTTTGTTCTGATTTTTAATAACCTGCATTGTGGCCATGCATCCCTTTGTGCCTAGAAAGCGCCGTAGCTGGCTTAAAGCGTCAGGGTTCATTCGTGGATCTGCTCCATAGACAAGCCCAATGCAAAGGGAGAGGATTGAAGCAGACTTCTTTTATTCAGCAAGCATTTTTTGGTAGTGCAGAGAGGGAATAAACCTGATCCACTTCCCTGAAAATGGAAAAGACTGGGGCTGCAGGGGCTCAGGCATCCCAGAAGCTCAAACAATCCAGGTTTCTCCTTTCAAATTTAGTGGGTTCACTCTACTTACTTATGAGACTGAATTGCTAATAAAAGTAATTAGAAGCATCATAGGTTGGTCATCCCAAGAGTATTTATACGCAAAGCAGTCATTAATTATTGTGACTAGGAGTGTCTGTCTTTCTATTTATAGGCTGGCCATGGGCGACACTGACTGTTCTTGGGTTCCTGTACTGCTATTCTCACGTTGGAATTGAATGGGAGCAAACGTACGCGGTGAATTAGGAACGACGCAGAACAATGATTTTTAAAACAGGTTGATGGCTTTTCTACACAAGATATTCTATCTGCAGAAGAATGTGCCAGACCCAAGTATTTGGTTAATGTGTTAAAACCAAAAGCTCGTGTAATTGATTCTGGATTGTGAAGGCAGGAATTGAACCAGAAACACTGATGGGCTACGGCTGGGGAGAAGTGATGAAGCATTTTGAATTATGTTATTTTTATAAAACAGTATCTCTGTAACCCTATGTATACTGGAAGTCTGCATCTCAGAATGCATATTTTATATATGTTGAAGATTGTATTTGTTTTTTCCAATGTTTCACTGCCTATTTTGACGTATTGAAGAAAGAATTTTTTCCTACCTTGCACAATTCAAAAAACCCAATCTCTGTCAGCTTCTGTGCAGGGGCACACAGGGCTGTGCCCTGTACTTACATTCCTCAAGGAAGGGCAGGATGCTCATCAGTTCTTCTTGATTGCTTTCTGATATAAGTTAGAACATTTTTTGCTATTCCAAGTGACAGCAGTAGTTCGGCCTTAAGCTACCTCTTTACTTACTGTAGCAAAGTCTGCTTTTTACTTTTAATTTCTTTATTTAAAATTTTGACTTTAAAACACCACCCTTTTTTGGTAGTCTTAGGAATTGTTGTGTTTGTTTCTTTAAAAAGAGGGTGTAGGGAAGCAGGTATTTTCTTAAGGAACAGCTTGTCTTTTTAATCAAATATGACCTTACAGCTCCTTGGGCTTTAAGTGCTCTCTGCCTTGTGTTAGAGCTAAAGCATATAATATTACCTTTATTATGGGGTGAATCCCACCTTCAAGGGAACTGGTCAGTCATCCTCTTGTATTTTTCTGTTATGAAAGGAGATAACCCAGGTCTGGCTGAATGGTAAATCCGTTCAGTCCACTTCGTTCTCTGGTCTCCAGGCAATCAACTCCTGCAATATTAAAGGAGTAGTGTTTTAAGAACTTTAAAAAAACCCAAAAAATTCCAACACAATGGTCAAACAGAGTGGTACCAAATTAGCCAGAGCTCTGTGTCCTTTGCCCGCAGCCAGACCTGTTACAGCAGCACCTTTGCTAAAAGACAAACCTCTGGTGTTGTCCAGAGCTGGGAAGGCCGTGCCTGCAGGCGTTGGGCTGCGGCAGTGCCTCAGCACACGGTGATTTTCTGAGGGAAGGGGAGCCCCTACTCATGTCTGGCACAAGGGGTGTCTCCCAGGATGGTCTTTCTTAAACTAATACTGAAGAGCAGCCAGAAGTCCTTTAGTCTTTGTAAAGTTAGACGTTCCCCCTGGGCCTGGCAAAAGGCCACCAGTCCTGGAGAGGGATTCTTCCAAGAGCAACTTCTTGCACCTGAAGCAGAAGGACTTCTATCAAAACCTGTTCTGTGCTCCCCCCACCACCAGCCATTTGGGCCTGTTTGGAGGTACAGTTAGTGTCCTACTGTCCATCATTCCTGCACCTTCAGCCAAGTCTGATCAACCTCGTCCCTTGAAAAAGAAATTCAGTCCCCGAGAGAGGCTTCAGGTTAGCGCCTACATTTCTGATGTCTCTGCTGCTCGGAACTATGGCAGCCTTCTTTTTCCCCTTCATATAATAAGGGCAGAGGCTTCAGCTCTCTACCCCTCTGGAGGCTAAACCCATCTCTTGCTGTTTCAAAGCAGAATCTCCAGCTTTTTATGTTTAGGGAAAGTTTTTTTCCACCATGAGAATGCAGTGATTTCCCCTGGAAGTAATTTCTAGGAGATACCGTGGACTGTTGAAAATAACACTTACCTTGAATGCTGCCTGGCCAGAGACATGTCCCTCCTGACTGACTTATGATGATTGCAGAGATCCTCTCAGCTGCAAAGAAGTATATTGCTCTCAGCCTCTGAATTTACTAAAAGCATGTCAGGTTGGCCTCCATTTTGGAGTAGAACTGAGCTAAGAACAAGAACTTCCTCAGACTTAACTCAAATTTTGTAATTAAGCGGAATTAGAATTAGAGTGAAAAGTCATGAGTCTGTTCTTCAGTCTTATTGATTACTGTTATTACATGAAACAAGGGGCTGCTAAGTGATTAGATTCCAATTTGTATGCGTGCAAAACTTCCTGTTCTAATATTAGAGTGACCTTGAAGGTCATCTACAGTATGCTTATTTCTAAACTAAAATTGTTTTATATTTTTTTTCAGTGCTTTATGTATTTTTCATAATTTTGTAACCATTTCTGTTTCTAAAAATAAAGCTCAAACGGACAGTTGGCTTGAGAAATGTGTCTTAGAAAGCGATGGTTTGGTGTAAGAAAAAGAAGTGCTTCCCTGCCATGAAGAGACACCACTACACACCGGAAGCCTGTGGGACGGGTGCAATGTGCAGTGGTCACTTTTATCCCTCTGGTGCACTGCATGGAACACACATTCCCTGACGGTGGAGTTTAAAAAGGAAATACACCTTTCATAGAACCATAGAATTGTCTAGGTTGAAAGGGACCTTTAAAATCATCTAGTCCAACCATCAACCTAACTCTGATTAAAAAAACCCATCACTAAACCATGTCACTAAGCACCGTGTCAACCTGTCTTTTAAACACCTCCAGGGATGGTGCCTCAACCACTTCCCCGGGCAGCCCATTCCAATGCTTAATAACCCTTTCAGTGAAAAAATTTTCCCTAATATCCAATCTGAACCTCCCCTGGCGCAACTTGAGACTATTTCCTCTTGTCCTATCACCTGTGATGGGAGAAGAGACCGACCCCCACCTCTCTACAACCTAATTTCAGGTAGTTGTAGAGAGCACTAAGGTCTCTCCTCAGCCTCCTTTTCTCCAGGCCGAGCAGCCCCAGCTTCCTCAGCCACTTCTCATAAGACATGTTTTCCAGACCCCTCACCAGTGTGTTGCCCTTCTAGATCAGTTAAGCTGAGACTCAAGCACGTGAAGCTTCTGGGAGTGGTCACTGAGGGTAGCATGCGAGTAAAATGATGCTTCCCTTCAGTCTCTTGCTATCTTGGGCCACAGGCAGAAACACGAAGCATGCACAATTTTTCTTATAGCTTAAATATTTATCGTATGAGAAATAAATGGATTTCCTTCACACTCAGTCTTTCCAGGGGTTCTTTTCACACTATTTTGAAACATGCATTTCAAGAACAAGCCTACTCACAAAGTTTCTGAGCTGTCCTGCTGATAGAAGCACCAGTAGGCAAGGCATGAGGCAAGCATGGGGCATGCCTGGTCAAACAGACAGCTCTCTCAAGAGCTCAGACTGTGCCTGAAACACTTCACATGTAGGTAACTCAGTTACACCTTCAGCTTGGAGACACATTTCTCAGCATGACCCAAGAACTGCCTGTACATTATCACATGGCACCCGAAGTAATTGAAATTATGTAGTAGCCAGAAGTGCATCCTCCATGCAAGCCCTCAGTGACACTCCTAGAGGGGGCGGGAGCTTGCAAAGGCCTGGAGGAGATTGAAGTAGACACCCCGCTTACCAAGAAAAATAAAGGTGAAGGCAGGAGGAGACTGCCAAACACTAAGGAAAATCTAGCTGAGGGGCCTAGGACACAGTTGACAAAGACAGAAATTGGCGAAGACATTGACCATTTTGAACTGAAGGGGAGACACTTCGAGTCCGATGGGGGATACTACTGCTGAGAGACCCTAAAAGTCACAAGTGTGTAGTGACCAAACACAAGATGGCTCTGAAACCGAGCTGGGCATTCTGAAAAACCACCTAAGCGATGAGCAAGCATAACATTTCTCAATATATGGCTTTAGTGGCTTCCACTAAGCTGTAGCAATCAAGTTCTGTCACACACATGTGTCCTTCCCCTCGGCCCCTCCTTGGCCAACAAGCCCTCCCAGCCATCGCTACTACTGGGGACGGTAAGATTATGCTAAGTAGCTCTTTCTTTAATTCTGCATTGATTAGAGGGCCAGCCAGGCTTTGCCCACATATCTCTTTCACATCTCAGAGCTAAAAGCAGCTTAGTTGGAATAACCAGCTCACCACAGGGCAGAAGAAAAACAGCTTAACTGTGAAAACCTGCAGCAATTGTGTTATTAGTCGTAGCAGTAACACAGTGCCTCTCCGGCCTCTTGCGCACCCGCTTAATTTACCCTCCATCCCTGCTAACCCTTGAGCTGGCTGCAGCTCCCGCTTGCTCAGCAGAGACTTGCCTTCCCCAAGGCCTGCTGGCACCTTTCTACTCGAGGAGCTGTGAAGAGCAAGGAGATTACTATGCACGGTCTGTCTGAGCTTCTCCTGCCTGCGCTTTGTAGTCCACCACCACCCCCCTTCCCGAGTAGCGCTGCCCGTTAGTGCTTTGCAAAAATATCTCTCTCGGCGCACGGCCATTTGTTAGTCAAGGCGTATATTTTAATCCAGCAGGGACAGCTGAAATACTGCTCGCCGCAAAGCCTGCGAAGAGCGCTGAGGCTGTAACACCTTTGAGGAATTAGGGGAAATCTGCATTACAATAGCTCATTTCTTGTACTGAGGGACCTCTGAGATCAACCCTCTCCAGTGCGCATCGCCGCTGACCCCCTGCAGATGCCCAGGAGTGTTGTGTGCACGTGCACTGATTTCAGCAGTTTCACAAACAGCTGCTTGTGGAGCCGTTCCTGCATTAGTTGCATATAAAAGGAAGAAGAGAGCAAGACAACTATTTGATTTGAGATTTCCACTTTCAACAAATGCGATCATGTCAACCACAGGTCCTTCCAGAACATCTGAGAACGAGACGTGTCCCCAGTATCCTATGGTACAAGTCACCTACACCAGAGCATCCTGCTGGACCAACTCAGCTCGGGCATCCCCAGCCTCGGGGGGCAAGCACTGGCAGATCCAAGCTCGAGAGGCTTTCAGGGATACCACCATTGCCCAGGAGGAGAGGAAAAGAAAACATCTAACAGGTCTGACCCGTCTGTTTTCGACACGGCGCGAGACTGAGCTGAAGAGTGTCAAGGCCCAACTGTCAGGCAGCCTCAGCACCGGTTCATTCAGGGCATCTCCCACAAGCTTTAGCAACATCAGTCCTCCAGCCACGTGGCAGCATCACTGGCCTGGGAAACTACTGCTCCGTGGGGGAAACAGGGACCTGTGCTCAGCACCCAACACCGAGAGTGACAGGATGGAAACTACGCGGCAGCATTAGTCAGGGGAATCAAACGCACTTACAAGGTGCTCAAAAAACTCCTCAGCTCCTTACACTGGTAGCCACAAAGGTCTGGGTGAGAGCAAATTAAGCTAACATCAGAGTTTAACGGGCAAATTTTGACCACAGTCTAGGCTGCACCACCTTTCACTATATCCAGGGCCAGTTTGGTTTAAGTGTAAATAACCTCAGGAACCTGCGTACCAGCTCATTTCAAACATGGATCAAAAGAGATGGGCTACCGGTGGCATACGCCTTCCCCAGCAATGGTCAAACTACAGGTAGTAGAAGTGCCTCACCATCTATAGGGATTTAAGAAGAACTTTACATGTGGCTGGTTGGGGAGCTGAGGTGAATCATTGCTGACAGGTGCATCAGCCAACCACTGAAAAATTAAAGGTTACTGGAGAACTAATACAGAAACATAACTTCAGTTATGACCTGTGAAGTTTAAATTGTATTAGCACTCCCTCTAGAGCTGATCTTTCTTGACAAAATTAATTAATTTTTATGGACCAGAGAACTTCCATCCCTGCACTAGTGCATTTCAGTTTCCAAAATTAGGTGGCAAAAAATAGAATAACTGGAAATGCTATTAGAAGACCAGAAACATCTACACTGTTGGTAAATTAATTTAAAAGGCAAGGAAAAAAAAAAAAAAGAAGATCCAGTTGATTTTTTTTTTCAGACTGTTGCTGGAAGGGTTAAGGTTGTTTTAAGGGCTCAGATATGTGGCAGGATCACCCTATAGTAACCCAAATTGCAGAGATAAAAATAAGCATTTACGAGACAGTTCTTTAAATGATGTTACTCCTAATTTATAGTTATGGGCTTGCTTTACTCTTGTGGTGGTAGTTTTGTGCTGAGGTGGTAGTTTATGCTGAAATTACAGGCTAATAACATTCATTTGGTCACATCTACGCTCCAGGCTACTCCAGTGATCTGTCATCTGCTTCCCCCACCACCACCTCTTGGCACCCGGCCCCAAGGCCACCCCTTCATCAGGTTCAGTTCTCATGATGGTGCTACAAATACAGAAGGGGCACGGCCCAGGTCCTGCCTTGGCAAACATCTGCCCAGGACCAGGCTGACTAACGACCAAGCCCAGCACTTGCCCAGCCCCACTGCTGCCCACCAGGGTCTCTGGTGCATGCAAAGCTGTAGCGTGGGGAGGGAAATAACTCCCCTTTAGTACCCGCCCCACATATGGTGGCCTTACCATGGACCCCACACTAAAACACCACACAGCAGCAGCCCCCAAGCCCGCCCTGGGTGCCACTTCGCCAGCCAGTTGCCACAGACCCATCATGACTCATGTCATGAAATGCCAAACCACAGAGGAGAAAGAACCATGGAGAAAACCTTCTACAGGACTTGGAGACTCAAAGGCACAGGAGCTTCTGACTGCACCTCCTTCCAGCCTGACAACGAGTGTAAGGGTCTGGGGAAACTCAGTATTTTTAACCCCTTCAAGCCCCACACAGGTATTGAACCCTCCAAACAGCAATATCCCAGAAGGTCACCAGGGATGAGTGACCAAGCGAGCCCTGGGTGCTTTGACTTTAGCAAACTTCGCTCAGGTTTCTTATTCTCAGAGGTCCTCAATCTGATCAAGCCCTACCAAACATCGCTTGTTAAGAATATGAGACCTACAAGGGTCTTCAGTCTCTGAAGACATCCTGCTTGCCTTCAATGGTTATTTCAATAACCACTGGCACCAAAAGAACTGCAGGTTTAGTATAAGCCCTGTCAAGGGTTAAAAAAAGCATGACAATCATTCAAAAATACAATAGCGTACTGCTTTGGGAGCACTTGGAGGCTATGAACTGCTTATTACTTAATGCTGCTTGAGGAAACTTCCATTAAAAAAAAATATATATATATATTTTCGTAATAAGGTTTCCAAGCTAAATCTTTAAAACTTTAAAGATGCTGGCAGTGACACAAGGGTACCCTTCAACACCCGTAGTGACAACTTAGGCAGGGTGAAGTATCTCACCGCTCCTTCCAGAAGACAGCCACACTCCAGTAATGAAACTACAGCAGCTGCTGGGCAGAAGATAACTCAGAGGGCTCTAGCCCTTGATAAACCCCCACCCTGACGAGCTTCCTGGGCAGTCGGTCCCATTTGCTCCTGTGCCAGCAGCCTGCTTTCATTTAGCTGCTCCTGCTCCCTCCCTGCTGCCTGCCCCTCGGTGGGTTTGCAGCCTGTGCATACCCTCTCACTCTGCTCTCCTTGGCTTTCCCCAGAAGCTTTCCTGAGCCACAACTAGGTTTCCTCCACAGCTGATTTTCCATGGCAAAGGAAATGCAACAGATTCAACCCACCAGGACAGGTGTCAAGGCTGTACTTTGGCTACATTATATGCTTCTTCCGTTTACTACCATGACCTTAGACTCTTCCCCCAACTCCTGGTTTACCACTGAGGTCAGAACAACCAGCCTGCAGCTTCTCAGCACATCTGACTGCAGCTGCGTTTTTCTCTGCTCACGTGTGAGACACACTCCTCCGTGTTACAGAGCTGTTTACAATTCTTGTTGCCAGAACTGTAATTTCATGCACAGTTTCTGCACTCTTTCCTAAAAGGTGCCTTTTTCAATTCCACTTTCAGCGGAACCATTTTAACTTGTATCTCTGTCTCCACACACGTCCAATAGCCAGGTTCAATGCACTACACATGCAGTGTTATCGTTCTAAAGGAAAACCAAACCAAATACTTTATTTTGACTTGGGGCTACATACGGATTATCTTCTTTTTCTTTTCTATCCTCACGCCACAGCTAAGAACATCCAATAAATTTTCCTGTTATCATTAGTTCTTCTAAAATACCTTCTGATTAAGCGTAAAACTCGCCAAAAAAGACTGTGATTTTGGCGAAAACTCGCCAAAAAACAATTTCAGACCAGAGAGTCTGAAAGCAGTCTGTATTTCCCTTCACTGTAACCCACTGCTTGCAGGGAACTGCTTCTTGTTGAGCTGAGCTGAGCACACAGCAGGTCCCAGGCTTGTACCACAACCACTGTGCTGCCACTGCTTAGCAGTAAGTGGTAACCCCTGCTGAAGAAGAGGCCATGGTCCTCCTGTTCTAGGAGATACACGTGTGTAATAGATACCCCAGCACAGTTTCTTTCTCCCTAAGTTGTGTATTTCAGCTGGGAGAACAGGGATCCCTGGAAGCTTTCAAGGCCAGGCTGATGGGGTTTTGAGCAACCTGGTCTAGTGGGAGGTGTCCCTGCCCATGGCAAGGGGGTGGAACTAGATGATCTTTAAGGTCCCTTCCAACCCAAACCATTCCTTGATTCTATGAAATAGCAGTACCAAAGCACATCCATCTCAGATTTGCACACACAAACTGCAGCGACATTGGCAGGGGCTACACGTCCCCCCAGGGAGGAATTAACAGCAAAGCCTCATTAACCTTCACCTTATTCCTCAGCCACAGGAATAGAAACGTTCACGGAAAACTCTACAAACGAACAAAGCTCAAAAAAAGCCCCAACAAAAATAAAGGAAACACTGTGCAGGATAACTAAATTTTGTCTCAAAAGCAAACTCTTGGAGGTTACTCTCACACTCCTGCCTCCAGGAGTGTTGTTAACTTCACAAATTCAGCTTGTTTTAAACCCACACCTGTGCCATGCAGCTGCTGAAATTTGAACTTGGCTGTGCTACGCAAGGGCTTGAACTTAGGAAGGGGGTACAGGAATGAAAAAGGAAGAGAAAAAGAATAAAAAAACCACCCAAAAAAGAAGGCACATGTATTTTGCAGATATGACTGTGCACAAGCATCCTCCTATCTCCTTCTGACAGACATATTAGGAGTTCAGTTATTCTAATGCCGCCTTTGGATCTCTCACAGGTTTTTACTCATTCTGTCTTTCAAGAACAGGACGGGTTATTCCCCCCAGCTTCCACATGCCAACACCGAGGCTGTGGTGAGTTAGAACGAAAGGAGCAAAAATGCAATCTTCTAGCTGCAAAATATTTGTATTTGCTGATATTCTTTATGCGCTATATGCCTGTTGCAACAAAGCCCCTCACACCACTGCCTCTGGCAACAAATACCACAGCAACACCACATCCTTGTTGGCATTTTCCAGTTGGATCTGCAACCTTACTAACCCCCTGCCCCCCACTGCAGTGGGGCACGAGCCAAGCACAGAAAGCAGCCCATCAACCAAGATCTCCTCAAGCCCACCGTGGCTGGGCAGGTTGGAGCATCATGGCTGCCTGTCTCTCACTCAGTGAGGGGGCAGACAGGTGGCCACCAGGCTCATTGCTCACCCCACTGCAATGGCCACTGGGCTCATTGCTCCCCCCAAGTTCAGTGGGCTGTCCTGGGTGCCCACCTACTCCAGGCGGACACATTGCTGGCAGGCACTGAGCAGAAACGGTTTTGGTGTTCCCTTAGTGATGGGGGGAGCAAATAAAAGCCATTGCTATTGTACACATATGTGAGAGGGGGTAGATCCCCTGCAACCCAGTCCCATGGGCTGGTGGAATTTACTCCAGTGCAAAGAAACATTGGAGCCTGAGTGCTCCTCACCCCAGCAGAGATACTGAAATGCTCCTCACCCCAGCAGAGATACTGAAATGCACCACAAGGCAATTAAAGAGCCCCCATTACCAAATGCAAAATTAAAAACCGCGTAAGCAGCACTCACCTCTCCACAAGCTGGACGTCGCAGGCTGTCCCAGGAGTCGCTGTTGGTGTCCCTTGAGCCACAGCCCTGGCCAGGTAAAGCCAGGAAGGGTCCCTTGCAGCTGCCACACAGGCTGTGTGGGGTCCAGACCCTCTGCCATGCAGTTTGAGCAGCCAGGTGTTCCTTTACAGCCCCCAGGGAGGCTGTTCCTCATCACACACGCTCCAACACCCAAAGATCCTCTGGCTCCTCACCTTCAGGCACCTTGTAGGTGCTGCCCTTTGCACACTCACTCACAGCAAAACAGCAAAAACAACATTTTTGCTGAGAGAAGCCAGAAGGCACAGCTCACACCCTGTAGTCTGGGAACTGTTTTTCCCTGCCCCAAACACACTCCCAGGTGCAGTGAATGACGAGCAGGGGCTGGTGCAGGTGGGACGGGGGGCACTCACTGCTGCTGCGCAGCTGGGCTGACGGGCCAGCACCTGGAACATGAACTTTTGCAAATTGTCACACAAATCTGGGCCCAAAAGTGCTATAGTTAATAACCTTTGGTTTGAAATGTTGTGGACCTGAGAGGGAAGCCGGGATGGGTAATATTGCGTGGGCAATGCTACCCCTCTTTCCACTAATTTTTGCTTGCAGCACAAGCCAGGAGGCTGCTGAGAATGCAGAGAAAGTCAGAGCAAAGAAAATAATGGAGAGCTCAGAAAATGAGAACAGCCACCTCTAGAGACCACAACAACAAAAAAAAAAGTACATGCCTTCACTATGGTAATTTTCCCTTTTCTAACAAGTACAGGGAAGACTGTACATAACATTAGGCAAAAGAAAGCTGGATTTTTATACTGGCCAGTGAAACAATACTAGCGACCAGAGATCCTGCCTCACCACATACTACAGTGGATGCAGAAATGATGTTAAAAATATCTCCTCATTGTGCTCCTTGGCTGCTCTCTGTAGCGTTGAGCCTCGGCTCTGCAGCCTGAAAGGTTATGCTTTATTGCTGCTCTTCTGGAGATGAGATTCACAGTCTCATGAAGTGTCTTAATGCAGGCGACGGCCGCTTTCACCAGACCCTCAAACGAGACGATGGAGAATGAATCACAAAAACGGGTGTGAAGCTCACGGGGTCTCGGATGACATCCTGAAGACTAAAACCTCGTATACAGGTCCACAAAACAGCTGCTGCGCGTGATCCTCTCATGTATGACCTGAAAGGATCTCCTGTTCCTGTCGCTTCTGGTTATCGATTTCTTTGCTGAGGTAGCCAACAAAATAACAGTCATTGCTGCCCATTGCAGTGGTGTCACTGGCAGGTGACGCATTACTAGGGGATTCATTCCTGATGGTTTTCTTTTCATGTAAGTCCATGGTAAGGTCACCTTCTTCTGCAGCAGATGATGGACAGCAGAAGCCTGTTTAATCTATAGTACTCTGGTTTCCAGAGGTTTTGTAATAGTTCTCAGATATTGCCATAGTGAACACCATCTAAACAACAGACCAGCTACAGACACGTGGGCCCTCTGGATATCTATATTTTAGATAAGTCACAGCAAGTCCTCTGGTGATCTCACTCCTGCTTAGCAGACACTTGGCCCAGACTGGAGTCCACAGTGCAGGTGTGCCACTGCCTGGGGTGCCAGGATACTCACTTTATAGGACACCTGAGTTCAGTTTACAGTGGGAGTGTAAATCCTGACTGTATAGATACATGTTGTATAGAAATCTGAGGAAACAACCTGGGTTGTTTATGACCAAAACAGTAATATCACACTTCTCTACTGATAACACTCAAGATACAAAACAACAGCAACAAAATGGCTAGCCAGAAGTTCTAGAGAATAATTTAAAAAACCCTTATTGATCTTACAATCCTCAACACACGGAAAAGCACACCAAAGCAACCATAATGTATAAAATAGTTTATTACTATAATAAATAAAATTAAACTTTTTTTTACAAATATTATTTGTGCTTGTTTAAAAATGTTGAATAGGGATATCATTAATGTAGGTGCCTGCATTTGTAACTGAAACATTCCCAGACAGTGCGTATACATACATACATACGTACACTCGCTGTCTATCTACTGGCAGCTGCTTCGCTGACCACAAAAATAGTATCTACTCGTTCTCTTTTTCTAGTCATGCTTCATTGAACAAAGTGACAAATGCAAAGAAAAAGAACCAAGAGTATTTGGTGGATTTCTGAAAGGATAAAAACAAGTGAAATACATTGAAAAGCGCCAAAGCAACTGCATTAACTGCATATCAATAAAGTGTCCATGCAGTGGTGGCTAAATACTGAAACGCAGACAGGTCTCCAACAGATGTACAAATATTGATTGCATGTAGGTACAATAATATAACACATTCATTAGAAAACTTGGTATTTCTTTATATAGCAGTTCATCCTGATACAAGATTATTGAACTTCTTTCATCTACAGCTAAAATGATTCATTTTCTATGTTAGTGGTCACAGATTCAGTGGGAAGAAATAAAAAAAACCATTAGCTTTTCAGAACAGTTAGTGAAAACCCCAAACTGTTTTGTTAACATTAGGCATTTAGATCCAGTTACAGAGATGTACTGGGATTACACATCAAATATGTTTACACAACACTCAACAATCAGCTTGAAACAAATTACAGTTGCAGGTAAATTCACATTAGCTGTGTGGAACTGTAAAAAAACTCTTTGAAACAAACACTTTTGCAATATGACAGGTTGGCTCCCTGATACACAAAAGTGTTTACATAATAGTTACGTCTCTGTTTTGTGAGGGGAGAGGGCTATTGGAGTAATTCATTATTCTAATAAGAAGGCAATAAGTGGAGAAAGAGATGTGATTACCAGCAAGTGATTTCCATTAGATTTAGAAAGCTAATCAAAAAGTGCTTCATCTTTAGGCAACACTGTAAATACTACAGAACATTAAGAAGGAAGGACAATGGAATCACAGTTTGAATTATATCACTTATGAAAGGGTTTTAAGGCTAGATGTTGGATATATCTTATTGCAAAAAGCTTTATTTTTATTTAATTGAATCAAATGCTTGCCACAACAATGTGGTCAAAACTATGTCAGATTGGAGGATACAGTAACCTACTGTGCCTCACCTCAAATTCCTGGAGCTTCCCCTGCACAGGACTCCCTCTAAAAGGTTTGTGTTAATGAATCACAAGTGCAGCTGAAACACAGACTTTGTTATTGCCAATACACCCACAGGAGACTACATGGAAATGAAGAATTCAGTAGAAGACGCTTTTTGCCACCTAACACCAGGACAAGAAAGCAGAGGTGCAGCAACCATGTGTGTCAGTGAGAAGGAGGACAGGCTCAGCACCTTTGAGACAGTCCCTAGTACCAGGAAAAAAGCAATCCACTTATTCCCCCATCTCTCTTGCAGGAGAAGCCACTACCAGGGCAGCTTAGCTTCAGAGTTACTGGGAGTAACAAAGAGTGGCTTAGGAGCCTTATTCCCACCGACTATGGTAAAGATTTTCCCAATTTCACACGTATTTCTGTTTCCTGACCATCACAACGCTTGACAGATCTTCTCTCACTCACAATATTCGCCAGACTAACAGTATAAAAGAGGCCAACTAGAGAAACCAAAAGTCATGGCCTTATAAGTTCAACAGTTAACAAACAAGATACTCAGTAGGACACTGAGTGGATGTCTACTGGGAAGATTTAAGCTCCCTCTTGAACTCGAATCATTAAATGAGGGATGTGCTTTTACTTAACAGAAATGCAATCCATAGACTTCGCTATACATAGAGATATATATATAGATGTGTATGTACACACATCTGCGCAAGTGTAATACACATTGTTGTTTAAATAGTAAAGACAAATCATGTATTAAATTCTTTCACAGACTGGTTAAGATTGATTGAAAATATATCACCAGATATTCACAGTAAATATCTTGCTCGGTTCATTAAAGTGAAGTACTGTAGAAGCAGAACATCACCTTCGAAGCTGTTAAACAGGGTGTTCACTGGGATTCAGGGCAGCACTGTGAAAGAGATTTAAAGCGAGAATGGTGTTTTTAAAAGTATACATGTAATACCAGACAGAAGTAAATGTATCTGAACACGGTAGGGGTGAGAGCTGGGTTTTGCTTTTTTAATCCTGTGCTGCGTATCGGTATTCTTTCTAACAGTTTAAGTGTGAACTTTTAGAAGTTCCCATTTTACCAAGTCATAACCCAGGCTCTTTCTCTCAACTACCTTCCTTTGACTGAAATCTAATTCCATCATAGAGTAAAAATGGAACACACCATATTTTTTAGATTAATACAGGTTATTTAGCAGACTGTTAAATGGCAGAAGCACTATGCTAGAACACAGTTAAAACTGAGGCTTTTTGTTTTTGTCTTTTATAGTATGTACAAGCATTTGCTTGTTAAGGGGCAGAGTCTCATGTTCAGAGATCATTCATTTCTAACCTGGAAAATAATTTAAGTGAAATGGTTTAACCAATATGTAAAGAGAAACAAAAGAAAAAGGAAAAGCTGACAAATAAAATGAAAGAACAAGTAACAATTACGGTGGGTATGCACCCTGTCCAGCCGTAGGCATCTGAGTGTAAGGCTCAAGGAAGAAAGATTTGTAACACGGGTGCGTTCAACCACTCTCTAAAGGAGACGTGCTGCATCTGCAGAGCCCAGGCACTACAGCACAGGGCCAACTTAGTCTGAGGTTCAAAGGAGCAATGTCCCATAGCGAGCAAGGTTTTGCTCTTTTTAACCACTTGGTAACCCAGGGAATCCAAAGACCAAAGCTCATCCTAGACAGAATTATTTTTTTTTAATTCTCTTATGACATATACGCATTATTGAGGGATGATGCAGTCTCCTACAACTGGTTTTAGCACTTGCCAGTTCATAAAATCATCATAAAATGGGTCTGACCACTCTCAGTGCTGACCTGGAGCAGACACCCTGAAGGAGTGTAAGGAGTAGAGTTTCTCTGGAGTTTCATGACTGTAACAAAATCAAATTTGGCCATAATCCTCAAAGACGTTAAATTCTAAGTGTAATTCCAGAATATATTACAGTCTTTGAAGGCTTTACAAATGGATTATAAATGGCTTTATAGGCCTTTATACTAGCGTTATAAAAGCCTTACAAATGGGCTCTGTGCTGCACCCACCTGTCATCAGACAGGGAGTGGAGGGATACAATATCCTACTGGACTTCAGGCTGCTCTAGAAGCGCCCCAGCAAATGGGGAATTGGCTTCATTTGTTCACAGGTGTGGCTAATTATGGGGCTTCTAGGCCTGACCCTGCCGTGACTCCAGGCTTGGGCAATCAGCAAGATCAGAATAACCTTTAATACATCCCTGAGGGCACACAAAAATACCACTAAAAAACATCAACTCAGTATTAGCAACAAAGGGCCAGGTAATCTCCAGCTGCATGTTCAGGACTACCTCTGCACTGCAGTGCTGGGAATATTAGGCATGTTCTTTGGAGGTTACAAACATCTCCTCTCTCATCCACCTGGCATAAGCTAATTTCCATATTCATCCACCTGCAGGTATGATGAGTGTCACTTTTGCAAAGTGCTTGCTAAATTCAGCAAGACTTTCAGTCTTTCAAAAGTAGCATAATGCTGATGAGCAATTTGCCTGGATTAGGAAACTGGCTCCGAGTCAGTGTCTAAAACCTTGCTGGAACTTTTGAGCATGAATTATAAATCCTTGTACACCTGTGATTTACTTAGCCATAATTTCACTATCCAATGAATTTACTGACCGAGGAGACTAGAAAGAAAAATCACTAAATCGTTTCTCACCGAAACCATTGATGTATGGATTTCTTATGGCAATCATGCCATAGCTATTACAGGTAACTGTTGCCACTTACAGTGATTAATGCACCAAAGACACAGGGTGACTTTGGTAAAAGAGAGCCTTCCTCAGCACTGCGTGTCTGCAGTGCATGACTGTAACAGGCACCAGTTACCACTAGAAAAATCTAGACACGGAACCAGAAATAAATTAAGGAAATGGCACCTTGGCAAGGTCACCTCCCTACTGCCTTTTCTGGCATGAGGGGAAAAGGTGACCTACAGATTTGATCCCAATAGCTCTTCCTCAGGAACATTTCACTCCTTGGGTAAGAATTCACAAGCTGTGGGCACTTCCATACCGAACCAAGACATAAGATCATCGAAAGCCAACCTTAAACCAGCTGCCTCTGGACCTGGAAAGCCTGGTGCTGTGCTTGGAATAACCAGCATGTGTGAGAGCAGGGCAGTTACCACAGGAACAGATACAAATACAATGACTTCAAGACCTGAGCCAGTAGCTTTGCACAGCACAGCCTCACCACTGTGCCGGTTCATCAGTGGACCTCACACTTCCCCAGGGACATCTGACACAGTTCTGCATTGCACCGTGCAAGTATCAGGTCACCAGAAGTCCTTTCAAATGGGTCATTTTTCTTGCCTCTTCCTTACTTAACATGAACAAAAATCTTCCCCAAAAAATAATGGGGTTTTTTTGTAAATGACTTAGTACCATGGAAAAAGAATGAGACTTAACTACTCCCACGTTGTGTTAAGACCTATTGCCATTAAAAATGAAAAACCAAAAAAGTGTTGCACCAAGCTTCTGTGCTCTAAGCTACTGTTAAACAGTGAACATAGTGGATCAGTGGAGAGAATATACTATGAATATACACCTATATCCCAAGGTGATGACCCAAGCGATGACATCAGCTATGCTACCCTATCTAATGAATAATGAACCAGTAGTTTTGGTAAAGTGCTTCAATCTTCCTCCAAAAAAAGTTATGAAAATATAAGTTTTGGAAACATCTCCTTCTTTAAGAAGCAGATCTTTTTGTTTCCTTGCTACAATAGCACTTGTATACAGTAAGCACTGTATTTCTACCTCTACTATCCATTTGCTTACTAGCAGGATTAGATCAGGAACGATACATCTGGATGTAGAGAAAATCTTTAGAGGTTTTGTGAAAGCCTTTGGCTACAGTGAACATTATCAAAACAGAAACTTCAGAATAATAATTTATCAAGAATTAAAAGAGCAGATTCATAGCAAAATGAGGACATAAATGCCACAGTATATTTTCATGGGGATGCAAATCTGCAGGACTTGTTATTGATGTTCAGTAGGCTGTGCTCAAGTACACTGCACACCCAACCCTCTGTTCTCTGGTGCCCAGAGTTAAAAGCAAAGGTAACAACATTCAAAGACATCTGAGACGCCTGGTAAGATTTTGAAACCCAGTACCCTTGACTTAGTGAACGGGAATGTGGAAGATTCCACTTATTAACAGACCTGAAATACTGTGGCTATTGGTGAGGTTAAATGTAATTGCTTTAGCAATATGTCAGTTTGCAATTAAAAATTACCATTTTTTTTTAGCTGTTTAGCTTTTTAGCTGTTCTTTGACTACCCAAAAATAACTTCAGTACTGAGTAGCACACACTCTATTGAAATGACATACACATCTCCTACTGTTCTTTGCATTATTATAGATATATGAAAATATCCTGTGACATTTAAGACATTGTACAGTTGACTGAGACTGTGACAGCAGCAGCAAAAAAAAAAACCAACAACCCACCAAATGCTGAAAACAAGCACCCTGGCAAGAGCTTATTCATATAGGCAAAACCCGAGCTAACGACGTAAGGCATGCTCCAAAAACCTCAGAGGTCACCTGGGGCTCACGGGGGTGGCTGCTGCTGTCAGAATTCTTATTCCAACATGCCGAGGGAGAGAGGGGGAGCGAGGGGGAATGGGCACCAACGGAGAAAAGAAAAACTTTAGAAACTGTACCCTTGCTGTCAAAAAGGCTTCAGAGTCAGCTGCCATCTTGACATGAGGTTGCAATTCCTGTTACCGTACCTTTTTAGACACAGGGAACATGCTTAGTGAACTGGTCCCTCACTCGTTTTCAAGAAAGATTAAATTTAAAATGTTAGGGGGGCTGTTTGTCGGTTGGTTTGTTTGTTTGTTTTTAAAAAGAAACACCTCAGCTAGCTCCAAACACGTCTTTTTCTGATTCTGGAGACTGGGGCCTTGATATTTCAAACAACTCCTGTGGCGACTGGGAGCTTCTTCGTGAGGTTAATATCCTAAGTATCTCAGCGAGCTGTTTTTCTATATTGGTCATTTTTGTGTTTAAAGCCTTAATGTCCTCCTTCAGCTCGTGTTTAACTTCTAGCATGGTGGCTTGAAGAGTCTGTTCTGGTATGGGATAAAAGGAATGCTTGACCTCGGTGAGGACGGGGCTGCGGTCCTGCGGGCTTCTTGTCTCCCCGACGTTATCCAAGCGCAAGTCACTTTTTGTAATGCCGCTGTCACAAGAGTCCGTCTTCTTCAGGGTAGCTTCTCCCGAAGCTTTAGTTCTCTCTGGTAAAGTCTCCATGGACTCTGCTTTGGAGACCTTGTTCCAGTCTTCACCTTTCCCACAGGCCTCTTTGAACTTGGCCCAGCCCTTCCGCCGGGGGTAGTCCCCCGACACTTTACATCCCGTGTGCTCCGATGTCGGGGCCTGCAGCTTGGCCTGGTCGGAGGCCCCCGAGGTTGAAGCAGACTGGTAGGACACGGGGGTGGCCGGGCTCTCCCGCACAGTCACAACGCTGGCTTTCACCACCGCGCGGGAGGAGGAGTGCTCCCCTAAAACGTTGCCCTTCTCCACGTCCAGGTCATCCGGGTCTCTGCCCCTCTCTGCCGCCAGCCGGGCTTCCTTCTGCTGCCTGAACCTCTGGAACAGCCGGCGGACGGGGTGGTCCGGGGGTAGGATCAGAGGCGCTTCGTTCTTCCTCTTCATTCTCTCCTCTTCTTCACGCTTGACATCGCTGATTTTCCGGAACACAATCTACAGGGGGAGAGAGATTTCACTCTGTGATTAACTGCACGTTTGTTGAGGGGAGAAAGTTGCAGAGAAAGAATTATTTGAAATAATTTATTTGAACTGACAAATGCACAACCTCTGTGCATTTATAGCAACATTTTCAAGTGTCTTATCTCGTGTGGAACATGGCTTATTTCATTATTTAAGAGCATACACCATCTGTCTTATAACACCAGAAAGAAAAAAAAAATGAAGAAAATTATTTCTCCCATTTTGAGAGGTCAGCAAGGCAGCACGATTGTAAATATAATGATCCCAGAAAGTTACTTGTTCTATTTTGTGTTAAAAGTGACTTCTTAAATTTGTTTTCCTGACTCCATGATTTAGCACCAAGTGTCTAATATTACAACATTCCCATGTCTTACATCAGTCTCAGCCCAGAGCTCACTCACTACATGCCATGCAAAAGGTATTATTTTAGTGCAGCTTGGCCATTAATGGGGTCAGTACAGCAGAGACCATTCTGGACTCCCCAGCGGCAGTTTGCAAAGCACTTCTTGCCCTCCCTTCCCACCCCCCCCAAACTCTCTTCTAGAAGCAACTTGCAGTTTAGGGATGAGGCAAAGCTCGAGGCAGTCCCATGATTAAGGGTACAGTGGGGAATGGGACCTGTGAGACAAGGGGAGGCTGCTCGTGGCTTGATTACTGCAGCAGATTGAACAGTTTCACATCTTGATTTATTTCTTTATTTGTATGGAGAAAGGGGCACTTTTACACAAAGAAACAATAATTTTCAACCTACTCTCCTAATTAATTCCTGAACTTGTAGGCTAAGCAATGTCTGGGAGCAGCCCAAGGGTCTCACGGTGGTGATGACGGCCCACAGTGCCCCCGTACAACCCCAAAGCACAGCAAGGCAATGTTTCTTCCCTGGACATGATAGCAACACATCGTCTTCAAAAGCTCCATGCATTTCACATTGGCAGTGGTATTTTCCAAGCAAAAAACTCCAGTAAGGTATTAAAGGAGCACCTGTAAGTGGTCTGGTTTGAAAATGCGAGGTCCCCTAAGCTGAAGTTTTCAATACAGAGTATAAAAGATGTAGCCCCCAGCTTCTACTGATTGCTGATACCTAATCTCTTTAGCTGCTTTTGGGAAAATCCACTCAAAGTCCTTACACTCCAATGCAGAAACAACTTTCAGATTCAATTCATTATTAAGAAATGTGTAAATAAATCCGTCCCTCTGCTGCAGACAGATTTAAATTAAACTAAACATAAAAAGCCCTGCTTCACTGGCACACACAAAATGCATGTTTCTCCTGACTCCAATGCTTCTTGACAGTTTTGTCATTGTGAAGCAGGGAAAAAACCATCTTAACACTGAGTCTTTGGAAGGAAGAAGTTGTCAGACTTGGCAGCGTTTCCCAAATACAAAAGAATAAAATTAGCAGAAAGGATATTTTATTTCCAAGCTGCAATTAGGAAACTAAATGTGAGATAAGAATAAGAAAACAGGGTACGTGACAGTATTTTTTTTCCCCAGGAAACTCAGTCTGCAGTGAGCTCAGTAGAAAGCGGACAAAGCAGCATAATCCTTAGAAGTGAAAGAATAACGCTCTTACTCACTGGGAAGGGAGAATCAATACAATGCTCCAGGCTAATGGCTGCCCACACACTGGCAGCCCCCACTTTAATTGAAGGAAGATCATCAGCCCAGCATTAGGGTGGCTGCTCTGCTGGAGCCTGGCCATGCCAGCAGGGTCTCAGGGGGTCACTCCAGCAGGCAGCTGAGGCTGGCTCTGGTGGCACTAAGCCCCAGCAAGCCCACAAAGCCAAGGCAACTATAAACCAGGTTGATTTGTCTATGCAAAATTCCGTCCCCAAGCCCACTCCTCTCCTGAAGCTTGCATGTTTGCTCTTGGTGTGGACATCCGTGTCCAGCACGGCGTTATGCCAGATGGTCACACAGTTAACCACGCTCATGTCACTTTGCACATGAGCATGTCTTTGTACGTGAGCAGTCTCCATCTGACCTGTGGATCTGGACTGCATGCTTTCCTTAAATGCTGAGAAGGGGAGTATGACTGGGTGGTGCAGTGGTCACCCTCGCAGATGTCACCAAGGCAGGCACCTAGGTGCCTGAAAGAGCTAGAAGCCAGGCTGCTTCGAAGATTCCTTGTCTTGTCCAACCCCTGCTCCACACAGCCTGCTCAGCAGCTTTTCTGGTAAGCACTGGAGTACCTCCTGCTGTTTTATAACATAAATGGGTAAGTTATTTGACAGAAGTTGCTCCTGCTACAGCACCGTACAGGTGGGAGGGCAATGGAGCAAGTCTCAAGCAATAACGTGCTAACAGCCTAGCCCAACCAATACTTGTACTAGCCATTGCATCTCATGCAGCTGCTAGCGTGGTCTCCATACTGGAGTACACGAGAAGCAAATTTACCACCAAATGCAAAAAGGCAAATGCCGAGAGACAAGCCGTTGGTCGTGCTTATCTCCCCGCAGCCCCCGCTGCTTCCCACTGCACCGCCCAGAGGAGCCTGGCTGATGCTCAGCAAATTCGGCTGCGGAGGAGCTGCCGTCAGCTTTCCCGCTGTGTGGTGGTCGGCCTCAGGGCCCTGAACATACCTTCACTCCTGTACCTTCAGGAGATCAGACTGCAACAGACACAGGAACATAAGCAGAGGGAGCAATTACCTAAATGCTGCCTTTGCCATGGGTAACCGCTGCCGCGCTAATGAGACCCCTAATTTCCATTTTCCACATAAGGCCTTACACCAGCTACAAGGCAAGTACACCACAGCAGCCAACACCTGCATGAATCCTCAGGTCTCCCATCGTGCTTGACATCTTTTCTACGTATACATTTATGTGACAAGCTGCACTCATGCGTTGCAAATCAAACCTACGCACGTTTGCCAGGGGACACAGCCTCCAACTCTTGGGCTGGCTTCTTTTAACTAACTCCTAAGACACTGGATAAATACGTGTCAGAGAGCAACTTGCCTTTGGGAAGCCCAGGCAAAGCTGTCACTGGTCTCCTTTTTTTGCAAGCTCCCCAAAGCCATATTTTCTCAAGACAGCGCTGTATTTTTGTATTAAGCAAAAGTGTTATAACTATGCGAAGCTCAGCAGTAATTGGAAAGACTTTACATAGCTGCATTTTGGATTTTTTCCATCTTTTTTAAGATTAAATGCAAGTCCTTATCAATAAAAATACAAATAACTGTCTTAAATGGACTGCTTTCTTACAATCATTAGGGAAAAAGCAATTTTTAAGTGGTTTAAAAGCTTCAGCAGCATCCAAAGTATTCAGAAAATGTGGTTGTTATGCTGATGTATGTACACCTGCTCCCACAAGGAGTAAGAGTTCAAAGGAAAAGAAGGTAAGTTTCATTTGTTATAAGGAAGAGAAGTCTGGACCTACTCAGCAATTTTCATGCAAAATTTCATAGGGCTACAAATGCAGATCTTAATCAAACTTAAAGCCCAAAATATTATGGCAAAGATCCTAAGACAGTTTTTAGGGCAGTTGGTCTTTCTCGCTCTCTACAAGCATTCATTTTTGTCTGGGAAGGGACAGTCCTTTGTACCCTTAAAGTCTATGTGCCACACAAACACAAGGGATGTCTGCTTTACAAGCTATGTAGTTCTCCATAACAACACCATCTTTAAGACCTAAGCACACAGAAAAAAATCTAGTGGGAGCATTTTAACAGTACATGACAACCAAAATAAGGACAAAGAATGTGAACTGAGATAAAATAACTAGAAATTTAAACACTAGGCCTAAAAGTGCATACTTCACACGCCCAATCTCAAGTCTTGTTTCATAATTCTGTTTTTATTAAAAAGGTGCTGAATCTTTTAGCTCCATGACAGAGTCTTCCAAGCTGCCAGAAATGTGAGTATTGTGGGGGTATCAGCCTAGATTTGCTAAAATCTTGAAAAATAGCTCTGCTAGGCACAGATTATTGCAATCATAAAAACATTTAACTGAGACATGCAGCTATGATGACTCAACAGCAATTTTAATTTTGGACAATGCACTCAGAGAAGTGGGGAACTGCACTGACACGACCTGGTGCACTCCTGCATCCACATGTCCCACTGACCGATGACAGCACGCTCCCTGTGGCCACACTCCTGGACACGTCCTGTGCATGAGCTGTGTCCAAGGAAGAAAGATGGGGTTACACCCAGCATGTTTCCCTTTCCTCAGGATTAACTAGTTGTGAAAGTGCCACAGTCTCTAGTAGGTTTTGGGGAAGACTCTGCCTCTTTTTAATCATCAAAGGATTTTCAATCTGTATGTGTAGAATCAATCTCTTTGGAGATTAAGGTCAAGATTTCTCCCCAAAGTATTAAAAAATTATGTGGACGTAAATGAATACTTGAAATATCATATTTGGTTGTCAAATGCGGAGCGCCCAGAAACTGTTACTTGGATTTTCTTGTGCTCAGCACTTAAAAACCAAGCGTCATTTAAATAACACAACATGGACATTTGTCATGAATATGACCTCCATAATTTCTTTATGATCAGACCAGAAGAACAGGCTGCAATGTGATCTCCAGCATAAGGCAGGCCACAGGATTGCTCTGAAGGAGCGGTTGCCAAAGGGAATCGTGTTACAACTAGATTGTATCTTTTAGAAAAACATCCAGTTTGATGGCAATAAAGAATACATTATCACATCTTGATAAAAGATTCCTGCAATTTTTGCTTCAAGACTGAGTTTGTCTGACATCAGTGACATTTCTGTTCCCTGCTCCCTCAGACACTTAAAAATTCACTTTTAGAAACTGATTCTAGAGTCCCATGTTTAAAAATCTCTGCAGAAGTATTACATTCAGTCAGTTACTACTATGAAAGAGTGAGACAATAGTTTTACTGGTATGAAATAGGCAAAGTTCACACCTGTGGAATTTTCAATTTAACTCTAAGCTTTTCAATTTTAACTCTTTGGAGATGTTTGAATTATTTCCTACCTTCCAGCATCTTTAGTAGGTGGTACT